AACACACAATCAAGATTTAATATAACATTTATTGCACAGCATTAGCATGAAATAGTGTTAACTATACAAGCTGTGAACTTTTGGAATATGTAACAAATTTTACACAAAAGATTACTTATTGCCTATTGGTGGTGTTACCTTTTCTGTTGGATAGACAGTGTTCTTGCAGCCAAAACATTTCTCCCTTGTTCCACCAAACATGCTTGTCACTTTAGCTACCTGTGGTTTCTGTTTCAAAGATACAACTTGCATTTAGTAAGTGAAGGTAATACTCTGCTACGTTGCTCGGACTCTCAAAATGTTGCTGCACCCGTGTCGGATCCTCCAAAAATGCACAAGTTTTGGAGAGTACGCACCCCTTGACATTTTTGAAGAGTCCGAGCAACATAAATGTTCTATGTCAGTAAGCTTGATCATTCATTGTCAATTACCTCACTGTCAATGAGTTTCTGTGGCTTCACAATTTTTGGTGTCCCTGTAACATTTTGAATTGTCAATAAGTTTTCTGTTTGCAAAAGTTATTTGGAATTATAATCCATGTTAACCTCTACCTTCAAAGCTTTTATCCAAACTGCCAGTTTGTTTGAAGAGCTGATCAAAGTGTGGTCTACAGTAAAGAACTCCTTCAAAGGAATTGTAGTTGCCAAGCTGCCAATTAGATACAGTTGAAGAACAGTAAAAGTTAAGCTCCAATGCTTTGAATATTAAAAGTCTAACAGAAACTGATAAAACTTATAGCATCTCCAGAGTGGATAAGACATATAAAGCTAGTAATATTGAATAGAAAACTCAAATCTACTTCTTTTGACTCTGAACAAGTCACATAGACCTATTCAGAGACCAATTTACAGAGTTATAGTAATTTCTGCATAAAATGATCCTGATGATTGCTTCAGTAACCGTACTATTTGTTGTTGCTATTATTCTCTTCTTCATTGTTTTAACTTTACATATTGTTTGCTTTGCTTTACTTGAGCCGAGGGTCTATCGAAAACAACTTTTCTACCTTCACAAGGTAGGATTAAGGCTGCGTACACTCCACCCTCCCTAAACCCCACTTGTGGGATTACACTGAATTTGTCGTTGTTGTTTGATCCAAAACCTGTGTATGGAACAGGAGGAAAAGAAGAAAAGTACTTGAAGCTGAACAAGAAATTCTTATGTCAGACAGATTATCTCTATGGGATTTCCATGAAAGACAAAATAGAAGCTAGAAGTACATGAAAAATCTATAGTATTTTTGTTATAAGATTTCTTCCTATCTGTCTAGCTAGCAGGTATCATGTGGAATTAGTCGAATTGTGCAAAAACTCATCCGAACACCACAATTATCAACAAAAAAAAGCAAAGAGTCATAGGAAGAAACCTTGAGGGTGCCCTTGCAGTGATGACATCTGAAACAAGCTTTGTGATAGATTCTGTTATCTGCAGTTAATTTGTCAACAAGATAGACAGTCTTGTCACAAGCCATGCACTTTTGTGTTGTTCCTGCAAATGCCATGGCTATAATCAACTTCTTTTCCTGATTTTCTGTAGCAAAGCACTTGGTGTTTGGAGGAAAAAATAGAGAGGAATGGATGGAAGATAAGGATGAGAAGCCAGCTGAGAAAGTATGATGATGATGCTCAGAACAGCAATTTAAGTAATTAGAGAAATAGACATTTTATCATCTTGTCCCCAGTATACATCACCTAACAACTATGCAGACTTTTTTTTCTTTTTCTTTATTTCCAATATTTTTATCATTTTTTAAAGATTCTTATCTGTAAATATATATATACTCCTAACTTTTTTTCTTGGAACTACAGAAAGTTGAGGTTAAAAAATTTCATTTGCAGTATATGCTAAGACATATGGTGTTTGCCTGTTTGGTAAAATATAGTGAGAAAATAAGTTCCTTATAAATCAAGAAAGTGACTTTTCTTATTGAGTAGAAAACAAGTTTGATAAGTGAGATTCTATATTGATTGTCTTCTCCTTTCCTCCGCAACTTATAGGTGTTTGCCTAAATTGTGGAGTATATAAATTTTATAGAGACAATTTTCTTTGCTTACTTATTAAAATATCAAAAATTATCAAATTTTGCTTGGTGAAAACCTTAATATAATTGGTGAAGGATGAAAAAACAGTGAAAATAAAGGAATGAAATAAGTGATTGTTACTTGCATAGGCATCAAAGTTCACATGCTTGTTGGAGCCCAGTTTGGTAGAATGAGATCTTTTCTTTGCTCTATTGATATTAGCAAGCACCACATGAATCATCATCATATCACTCTCATGGAATATATATTTGCTGTCAAAGCAATTATGCACAACTCTCCCGTCTCAATTTATATGACACTATTTGAACAAATAATGAAATTTAAGAATTAAGGGAAGAGTTTATTAAGTTTACCAAATTGCCCTTGTTATAGTCACTTTAGTGCTTACTTTTAATTGACTTTTCTTTATAATAAAGTTTTATATGAGATCCAATCAGAATAAAACGAGGATGATGTCATTAATAGTTGTCAAATAGAGAAAGATTGACATTTTTTCTGGAATCGATCAAAAAGAAAAGAGTGTCTATAAATTGAGACATATTTTGGATGCGCTTATTATAACCTATGTTAAAAGTTACAAGTTAGGATTTCTAAGTTATGACGTTTGGCTTACTTTTATTATTTTGGCTTAAAATAAACTTTTTTTAATATATCCAAATACTACAACATTACTTAGAAGCTTGTTTAATTGAAAAACACTTAAAATACGTCAATTCAAACCTACTCTAAAAGCTTTGATTTTTTTTTCAAAAAATATTATTATTTGGTGGACCATAAACTTATCAACAACCTAAAAGAAAGTTGTGCTAGACCATCTAGAGTTATGCTAGACATGATTTTCAAATTCAATTTCCTATACCGGAGGAACTTAACCCCACTCTCACACACAAAAAAAGAAAAACATCAAAGGGATCTGTCACATGGCATAATCATATTATTGATCTGTCATAGCCACCCACTGTACTGTTTTTCTTTTCTTTTTTTTTCAATAAGAGAGTAGAAAATAAGTAATAGCTGTAAAGTATTTTATTGAAATGTGTTATTCATAAATGTCAATTTTGAGCAGTTTAAATATATTTTTCTGAAATTTTACAAGTCTAATCTCCAGATATAAATCTAAATACGTTGAGAAGTCGAGGTCCCTTAGAAATACAATCATTTAATAAATCATTGTTCCTTAGAACCTAAAGTTTGGTAAAAAAAGAACTTTATTCTTTGAGTGTAGTAGATTCAACTAATTACAAACAATTGACATACTAGTCACTGCAAAAAGACTCATTTGATAATAAGTGATATAAACCAAATATGTTCTGTTTAATGGAGTGTTAAAGTATTTTTTTAATCCAAAATTTGGGGTTCAATTCATATGAGTATGGAATCAAGAGCGAGTTTTATCCGAGGTAGAACTTCACAATGCGAAGAATCTGAATATAATCGTAAATCAATATGAATACTGGACGTCGGCCACTAGCAAACAAAAGAACTCTTGATCTAGATATGACAATGATATTTGAATTTTCGATAATGGTATAGAACTTTTTATTAAGGTTAAAATCAAAAGAGGAAAACAAATTGTTTCGAATTTGACAAAGAATCTCATTTTTTAATAGAAGTGTATCACTCTTTTTCTTGATAAGCATTAAGAAAAATGATACGACATAAATTGATATGTAACTACTAGAAAACTCAAATAGGAATCATTAACCATTGGTACTAACACTATAAGAACAAAGGTAGCAAGACTGTTAGCAGAACTGCTCCCACATCGGGACGAGCAGTGAAGCGAACATCTTCGCCCAATATTTAAAGTTTGCTTCAGCCATTTGTTGAAATCAAGCAGCCACGCAATGAGCACATAGCGAACTATTCTTTCGCCTTTTACTAAAGAATACCGTGTGCGCGTTGCATCAAGTGGCATACGCCAATTTTTGGAGGGTTTTCTCTTTTAGGGAAACCCCAACAAATCTTTGTTGAAAATTTATCTTTTAGTAAGAAGTCAGTCGATGCTTACTAGTCATCACTAAATACTAATGCGTTTTTGTGTTCAATACCGAATATGAGTGCTTGATTGTGTACAACTACTGTATTGTTTTTGGGCTTCCACAGCTTCTCTATTCATAAAGCCGATTTATGCTTGTAGCTATCTGGGGGAATATGAGAATCACTTTTAATTTGTTTTTGCGGTTGGTCTTTCCTGCTATATATTAATATATAGTCAAAAAATAATCAAGGAAGGATTGTCACTTAACACTTTTCGCTCACGTGAGTTCGCTCCTGGTATCGATAATATTGAGTATGAGTGCCTATAATCATAAAACTACATATTGGACATCCTATAATCATAAAACTACATAATGGACATCCGATATCACATTGCTCCCACTTGAGCTATATAATAGCATACTTGTATAATTAGTATTGACATCTTCATTGAAGAAACTTTTGAGGACTATTCAACATAAAATTCACCCTATGTAATTACACAATAAGTTCATATAAATTTAAAGATCTTATAATTGAATATACTTAAAATAGGAATATAATAATTTTTGATCAACTATCATCGGTTTGAATTGACTATTATAATTATAATAGTTTGAAGTATAATTTGCAATTTTTATTAATTGAAAGTTTTGGATTGAATATTGTCTTTGAATTAAATATTCTATTTCTACACTGAACACTTTAATTTTAGATCATATGTTACATTTTTAAATTGAATATTATAATTATAAATGAAATGTTATATAATTTTGGTTCAAATACCGCATTTTGAATTGAATAGTATAGTTATTAGTACTTATTATAGTTTCAAATTGAATATTGTAATTTTTAATTAAATATTATAGTGTGTAGTTTTGGATTGGAATACCGTAACTATAAATTGAATATAGTTTTGAAATAGAAAAAAAAATTGTTGATTAAAATATTCAATTCTAGTGTAATTATAAGTAGGGCGTATGAAAAGAGAGGGTCACCAGGTATATTTGCAGTTCGAGAAATCACTACAAGTCAAAACGCTCTACGCACAAATACAGAGAAATCCTCTCGTCCCCGGCGGCCGGCAGCGGCGAAGCCCTTCCACTTTCAGGCTGCACTCCACGAAACTTGAAGCTGGTGCGATTTCTCTGTCCCTTTGTTTTTTTTTTAACCTTTTGCTCGCTTGTTGATAGAAAAAGAGAACCTATAATGAGTGTAAATTAAAGCTAGCGAAAATCATTTTCCAGCTGTACGAAATTCTGAAATTGCTTCTTATTTGTGGTATTCGACCTAATTTTTGAAGTTTAATTAGTAACTACACTAGGCATTGATGATATTGTTCAAGTATAATATTCTATTGAGATGCTTAATAAAGAGAAAACACTCTAGGTGTGACCAATGAAGTGTGTTGAGAATCATTAGGTCTCATGTTAGAGACAAAAGTACTAGGTGATTTCTTTTCAATAGAGTTATCTGATACCTAGGTGGCACATATCTCGGAAATTAATCGAGTTGCGTGAAAGCTGGTAGGTTATAAAAAGAGATGCTTAATAAAGAGACTAAATTGAATTTACTTGGACTTACATGTAAGTCCAAGTAGATTCATTAATGACATTCGGAATGAAGTGAATTTGGAAAATATTGGAAACCTGCATAAGTTGTATAAAGTTTTTAGTCATCTCATGCTTTGAGTTCAAAATTTTACATGGTTGGGTGGAGCTTCTATTGTGAATAATGTACTGATGATGATTATAAGAAAGCAGCTGCATAATCCTGTTGCTACTGCTGTTGTGAAACTAAGCTGGTGTGGAGAGACGAGACGTGCTTTTGTTTGCGAGTGATTCCATGATAAACCTTGCACTTTCTGCGCAAGAGTTAACAGATAGTAGAAATTCTGATGTAAGTTTTCTAGCAATTAAGAAGCTAAATGCAATGTTGAATGATACGTTGCATAAACATTCTGGTGGTGAGCTCTGTTTGGTTGATCAAGGAGTAGTTGTTGATGAAGGACATTATCTTGATGTGTTTTGTGTGTTGTTTCATACCTTCCTTCTTTTTTTTTCCCATAAATGTGTTAGCTTTACTGTAGATGACAGGATACTTGTAATTGATTATCAATTTCGAGAAATTTTTTTGTTGTCAATGCACCTATTCATCGGGTGTTTTTTTTGGGTCGGTGCATCCATTCATCAATGTTTTTATACTCAGTACATATTCAATCTTTGACCTCCATTGGTCATTAGTAATCTATCGCTTTTCCTGTTTTCTAAGACACTGCACGCTCTAAGCTAGCACGCAACAGCTGATGAAAAGCTAAACAATTTGTTACCTTATGAAAAAAAGCAAAATTGACAATTTGTTAGGAATCAATTTTGGGTTGCTGATTTCCACTTATTAGTTAGATAAGCTTGGAACCCTAATACTGGGAGTTGCTGCTCACACTATCTTTAGAAGTAGCTTATTTACTCAGCTTGCTACCACTAAACTAGGATTCGATGAAAGTTAATAAACTCCAGTGTATCAAAATTCTCTATGAGGGAATTGACCTTAATTCTAACATTTCAATATAATTTTCATAGTTAAAAATTAAATAAAAGAAAAATTACATATCATATTTTTTTGTTATTAAAATATCTAAAATAAATTTTACATGTTGTAGTACAAGAGAACTTGCTTTCCCATCTAGAAGAAATTAGATTTCTCCTTTGGTGGCAGAAGTAACTAGAGTTCCGAGTTCGAATCTAAATAACTTCAATACCCTGTCTTTTTCTTGAAACCCACCTTTGGGCTTTAGTAGTTGTGTTTTTCCGTCGCAAACTAACCTTTATCGTAACCCCTTTATATCTTACTTCTCAAAGTGAATATTTCTTCAGATAGCAGGAGCTTTGAGTGTTAGAATTAGAACTTAGAAGAATGGTGTTTGGTCAAGTAGTGATTGGCCCCCCTGGTTCCGGCAAAACCACTTATTGCAACGGAATGTCTCAGTTCCTCCAACTGATCGGACGGTAACGTATTTCAACCTTTTGGGTTTTCTGTTTTCTGCTCATTTATACAATCTTCTACGCTTTCTTGGAATTTTTTTGTAGTCTTTGTTCTAAAGAACAGTTTTATGAGTATCTGATTTCTTATATCAATGCCAGAAATATTATTGATATTGAGTGCTAATGGTACTGTAGTAATTTATGCTTCTATGATTTAAAAGAACAGGTTATTTTCTATTTATATGACTTCTTAGTGTGGTTAGAAACTTCTTTGTCAGTAAGGAAAAGAGTAAAATATAATTACTTAATATTGGAAGAAAGGATAGGACTAGAGTGGAATGGATTTATTGGGTTCATGTAGTTGGGAGTGGAGGCGTAGTTGACTGATTGATTTGTAGGTAATTGCCAGATATTGGCGGCAGACATTAGAATTAATTGTAATATGATCTCTTACATTGATATTATCTCTTTTGATTGTTTAAATTGCAGGAAAGTTGCTGTTATCAATTTGGATCCCGCTAATGATGCTTTACCGTATCCACTTAAGTTGTGTTTCTTTGACATGTCGGGATAACATATTTTGATGTCTAATTCGAGAAGATTGTTCATTTATAATTAAATAGGAAACCAGTATATATGATTATTTTCTTCCTTATCTAATAAAGATATGAGTGTGCTGTGAATATTGAGGATCTAATTAAGCTGAGTGATGTAATGGTTGAACATTCTCTTGGTCCCAATGGAGGTAAGCTTGCCTTTACACCCTTCTATTAAGATCAGTCTTCCTTCAGTTATCTAATAAATAAGTTCCAAGTGGCTAAACTTGTAGATGCTACCACCATATCATTAGACCTGTGCCATTACAATATGTTGCTTCAGATTCTTGGACTACCTCCATTATCTAATTTTGGTGCAGAAATATTGTTCCTTATGTAGATGATGTTTTCTATGCTTTGAATTGTTATTATGTTCATGCAATTCTTACTTTGTTTTTCTAACTCATAGCTTTATTATTCTTTTTGTAGGGCTTGTATATTGCATGGACTATCTCGAGAAGAATATTGACTGGTTGGAGTCTAAGTTAAAATCTCTCCTTAAAGGTTGTTACAATTCAATCTGAAGTTAGTAAATTTTGACTGAGATCAACGTTTATTATCATTTAATCATTTTATACTTATCTGGAACCGGCTTGGTATTTGTTCCATCATGGAGGTGTTTATACCACTTTAATGTTGTCTGTATATCTGGGAGCTTACAACTGTCTCAAAGTTTCAGTTCCATGTGGGAAGAGCAGTCTTTTTGCATCGGTACCATATTTCTCAGCTAATCTGTCTGCTTTCCTCTCTGCTCCTTTTATTACCTACCTCTTACCATGTTTTACCTAACCTCCAATTTTCCAGGAATTTTTTTAATTCACAACCAATATAGATAGTGTAAATACTGTAAATAAGAAAAACATAGATGACGTTAACTGCCTTCCTATTCTGGCATTACAATATACATCTTGGATTTCAGAGATTTGATAATTTATGTATTTAGTTGTAATGGTTTCTGTCAATCTAAACTTGAGTCAACGTGTTGAATGTAATGGAGCTATAACACACACTTGGGCTAAAAAACTCTATTAATATATGCTCATTTACAACAATATTTTACTTGCTTGAGTTTGCTAACTTTCTTTTGATGAGTTACTCTTAGAAAAATTTCGAGTATTGGCATTTTTAGCAAAGTTGTTTGAGCACCTCGAGCTCTTGAGATTCAGCACATTCATGGAAATCACAGTATACCCATCGTCTTATGTGGAAACTGCAGTGGTCTGAGCAATCACCTCAGCTTGTTCTGACTTTTATCTATTTATTTTTGCAGAGCACTATTTACTTTTTGATTTTCCGGGTCAGGTGGAACTATTTTTCCTTCATGACAATGCGAAGAATATGATTATGGAACTTATAAAGAAGTTAGATCTAAGGGTTAGTCTCTTTTTTAGAGTTATCTCATCTATTTCATCCTTCACTATTATGCTTCTCGTTAAAGCCAAATTGCTAACTGTTTGGTTTGTTTAATGTAGTTGACTGCAGTCCATTTGGTTGATGCCCATCTTTGCAGTGATCCAGGGAAATACGTGAGTGCATTGCTCCTCTCTTTATCCACCATGTTACACTTGGAGCTTCCTCATGTCAATGTTTTGTCAAAGATTGATCTAATTGAAAGCTACGGAAAGCTAGGTTAGTTCATCATATTCTTCTGGAGAATATCTTTCTGGAATATGGAATATTCTGTTGGAGATGAGTTATAGGTATGAAACACCTTTGTGGCTACTATGAAGTGCTTATTCTGTATTTCTCTTGTTCTTGCAGCTTTTAACCTAGACTTCTACACAGATGTCCAAGATTTATCATATCTGCAGAATGAGATCAGTCAGGATCCTCGCTCTGCTAAGTATAGGTGCTTCAACCTTCCTTTTAGAACACACTGTCAAATGATAGCTGATTTCTCTTCAACTCTTCTTAATTCTTGCAGGCACAATATAACACATTGTCGTTACTTTGTAGTTTCTAACTGTTCTAATCAAACTAGGACAGAAATTTTAGTAAATCTTGTTGCTGGAGTGAGGTTTTCTATATATTCTACAAGCTTGATGAGTAAATAACTTCTGCACTTGATGCTGTACTACTACAATTTTGAGAGCGTTTCATGTTTTTGTAAATGTTGTGTCAGTTTAATGTGTTGAACCTCTCTATCTTTGGCAGAAATTAAGGGAGGGTAATGGAGGGAGAAGAATAAAAGCAAAACACAGTTTTCTTTCTTGTCTTCTTTATTATGTGCTGAGTTTTTTGCATCTACATCACCTTATTTAAGTGTCATTCCCTTCACTTTCTTTTATAATCGGAAGGTGGGTGGTCATTGAATTGCTAGTGTGGAACAATCTACTTTGACCCATTTTTATAGTTTACACACTTTTGTGTTGCCACTTCTTATTGTCGTATTTATGTTAATGTACTTTTCAATGAACGTAAACAAAGGGTAATTCTGGGCCTTTAATCTTTATAGAGAAAAGAAAAATATATCCTAAATTTATTACTTGGTGGAGGAATATATAGGATTTCATTGCTACAAGTATGGATTGTTGAAAATAATAAGACATGGATTTGGATATTTATCATAGTGCTTGACATAATGGAAATAACCAGAAAGGATCTTTATATCTAAACTTTGTGTTTTCGGGTTTAATACATAGAAAATGCAGAAGCTTGAAATAGATTTTATCTTAACATTGTGTTTTTATTTTGATACTTAAATAATGCAGAAAGCTTACAAAGGAGCTTTGTGAGGTGATAGAAGATTATGGACTCGTCAACTTCACACCTTTAGATATCCAGGTAGGATGTGATTGAGAGTGTCAACTTCACGGCTTTGAGATATATCCTCTATACTCTTTGTTAGCATAGTGTTTAACTTTTTGAGCTTATTTACCATTTCAGGATAAAGAGAGTGTTGGGAATCTAGTTAAGCTAATTGACAAAAGCAATGGATACATATTTGTTGGCATAGATGCAAGTGCTGTTGAATTCAGCAAAATTGCAGTTGGTCCTGTTGATTGGGACTACTACCGATATCCTTTTTCACGCCGTTTAACATATAAATGAATACCATTCTTTGAACTCATCAATTCCCTCTACTTGTACTTGGTTTTATGAGTAGTATAGATCATTCATTTGATCCCAATAAGGAAGTAGAGATTTTATTTCATTTCTTCATGATTCTACACTTCCCAAAACCAATTTCTTTTTGTTGGATTGTCCAGAACCAAATGTTAACATTTAGGATCAATTTGGTGCTTGTACTTTCCTATCTTGGCCTGTCAGTTGTTAGCTCTATTTCTGCGGGTCCTCATAAACGAAAAGAGATTCTTAGGGATATAAATTGTGGAATATATTTGATTTGATTTTCTGCTGATTGGTTCACATGGTTGGCCTTGACATTCCAATTTTACAGTTGCAGCTGTGCAGGAGAAATACATAAAGGATGATGAAGACGTTGATATGACAAAGGACAGTGAAACAAAATAGTATGTCTAAAATCTCTAAATACTGCATCTTACAGAAACTAATTATCCTAATGTATGATAGGTTGTAACTTGTAACGATCATTTTTGTTCGTTCGAGTGCCTGTATCTACTCATTACTGAACTTTTTTTGTTAGTAGTAGTAGTAAAAGATGAACACCTAGTCATTTTTTTATGAGACCTTTAATTGTACACCAAAATAGATAAGAGGCTCCACTCCTCCTTTGCAATCTTCTGATACAATGTGCATTTTCCATGATCATAGGACCTAGCATTGGTTATCGGAAACCTCCAACCCACAAAGGCAGGGGTGTAAGGTCTGCATACAATTTAGTATTTACGTTTCACAGACCCCACTTGTGGGATCACACTAGCTACGTTGTTATATGGCCTGGCATTGGCGTAGATGGTTGATCATAATTCCTTTGGACAATTTAAATTACATTGCTCAATCTTTTAGCTAGGTCCAATCCAAAATAGAACAAAAAATGAGAAGAAAAGAAAAGACCAGCAGTATATTAATTAGGATTATTTGCTTTGTGGGTGGTCTTGTTAGAACAAAATGGATACAGAAAACTCATATGAGTCAACATAAATATTGTTCTTTTGAAAATCCAAAACCAAGAGATCTGTTTTGGTGAGTTAGAAACTGAGTTCGAAAAAGTCAAATTTTTAATGATTTCATCATTTATAATTGAGTAGTGAATTGAATAACCATCCTGTCTCTTTCATTTCTGTTTGTTATATGGCAATAATTTAATAGATCCAGAAGGCAGAAGCCTAGATTTATTTTTATACTATATAGTTTGAAAAAAAAAGATTTTGCCTTGCACTAAAAGGGTGCTATACAAAATGTCATCACTGACTACGTCCTCATCGTGAGGAATAAGTAAAAAAAAGAAAAAAACATGAAACAAAGAAACTTTTGCAATTTATGTGTACCCTTGAGGTGTTCTTTTGGAGTGTGCTAAGCATAAAGTCTCAAATTAATTTGGACTACAAAGATAGAAATTCCATATTTTTCTAGAAGGCTACTTGCTCTTTAGTTGTGTTAGTAATATATATCCAGCACCAGATAAGGGGAATAGACCAATAATATAGTACATTCTTTTTTGTATTGTAATAGATAGAATTTATATCATACTCATCCATTCAAATTTCCGATGAACATTATCAAAGGATGTGGCGCAACAAATATAACTGTTACTTTTTTAATCAAAAAACTTTGATATGGCGCAACAAATACAACTGTTACTTTTTTAATCAAAAATTTTGATTTTGAGCCTTATGTATGCAAAATATTGGACAGAAAGAGCTTCTCCGAGAAACTCTGTGCGAATCTAAATTAATTACACTTTATATCGAATATCAAATATCAGATCGAATAGAAAAACAAAAAAATAAAAATAAGTCGTAGTATGAACATTACATTGAAAATTTTAATAATAAGTAACTTTTGTAATGTTTGATGTCTGCAAATTTAGTAGTTTTCCATAATTTGAAATATTTTACGAAGTTAATTTGTCAATATTATCGTAACTCTGGATTCTTATCTCATCTTTGATGACAATCACAATAATTCAAGGGAATGTTATTTTGTCGATATTATCCTTAAGAATAAAGTCTGTCTAATTGGATAGCTTTACAATGAATTTTTTTGCCACTTTCAGTGCATATATTTTTCATGAATTATTGTTTTATCCAGTGAATTATCATATTTAACTTTCAATTATACATCCGCTCTTATCTGACTGCAAGTTTGATTATGATAAATTTTGAGACAAATTAATTATATTTCTGTTAATTAAGTAATGAGGACAAGTTTTGGTAAAATCAATTTTACATTCTAATTATGAAATTACACCATGTATGTTTTTGTTGTTGTGGTTGTTTTCTGATATAAAAAAAACATTAACTTTATTTGTTTTAACAAATTTCCAAGGCTTTCTAGTCTATGATAGATACGACTCATCCATTTTTAATAAGAGATTATAAAGTTGAGCTCTCTAGGTATATATGAAAGAAAATCATGATAAAAATCATTTTTTCCTAAATATATTTTACGTGACGTAAATTTAAATTAATTAAAATTCTGATATTGATGTTATAATATGAAGTGTAAAATAAAAAGAATGGGAAATATCTTTGAGGTGATTTGGGAATCGTGCACTTAAGTGGTACTCCCTCCGTCCACAATTGTTTGGCAGGTATACTAAAAATAGATGTCCAAGATTAATTGTCAATTTAAACAATCAAGAAATAATTAGTCACTTTTTTTCCAATTCTGCCCTTAATGATTGTGTAGTTCAATTGAAAAGTTATGTGGACTTTTGGAATTCTTGATATAGTAGGGTTATATTAGTCAAATTACACCTTGTATTAAATTTTCCTTGAGGGATGTGCATGACCTTACCCTGACAAATAATTGTGGACGGAGGGAGTACATACAAGATCAAATTATAACCACAAAATGTTCTAATTACCATTAATCTGGTGTTGGCAATCATTATATTAGAGTTCTTAAGTTTAATCTACATTTTAAAAATCAGATCATTAATTGATATATACATCCTTCAAGTATTACTTTTTGAACTAACTAGAAATTAGAGACGTCTCAGGAATATGAAATGTGAGATATCGAATGAATCTACTATATAAAAAGTATGTATTAATTAATTATAGGGTGCATATATTTTCCAAGAAAATAATGACTTCTATTTATTTTGTGTTCGATAAAGTACGTATTAAATTATAGGGTGGGCCGTGGGGTATGTTTCTAAGAAAAATAATTGGTTTTGATTTATTTATGTTCGATAAAGTGTGTACTAATTATAGGGTGTGACGGTATATATATTTTCAAAAAAATAAATAGGTTTTATTTATTTTATGTTCGATAAAGTATGTATTAATTATGAGGTATGTGTATTTTCTAGAAAAATAAGTGAATTTTATTTATTTTGTGTTTGATAAAACATGTACTACTGATTATAAGATGTGTATATTTTTCAGAAAAATAAGTGGCTTCTATTTATTTAGGGTTTGGTAAAATATATACTAATTATAGGGTGTGTATGTCTTTCAGAAAAATAAATGACTTCTATTTATTTTTGTGTTTGGCAAAGTATGTACTAATTATAGGGTATATATGTTTTTCAAAAAAATAAGTGGCTTCTATTTAATTTGTGTTTGGTAAAGTATGTACTAATGATTAGGTGCGTTTGTTTTCTAGAAAATAAAATAAATTTTATTTGTTTTATGTTCGATAAAAATATGTACTAAAGAGTAACTAATTTTAGGCTAGGCATGTTATCCAGATTTAAAAGTGGCTTCTATTTATTTTGTGTTCGATAAAAAAAAAGGTGCTAATTATTGGGTTTATAAGTTTTCCAGAAAATAAGTGGCTTCTATTTATTTTGTGTTTAGTAAAGTATGCAATACTAATTAAGTGACTTTTAATTTTGTGTTCGATACATAAATAAAAATATTATTTTAAAATTATATATTTATGATCTAGACAAAAATGTAGGAGGTGGAGATGAGGGTACATGTGTAAAACCTGAATTTCCTATATAAAATACTATATAATATATATAAGATGTATATATATATATATATATATATATATATATATATATATATATATATATATATATATTAAATTTCCTAACTACAAGACTAAATATTGGTGCAGTACTTTAGAGGGTTCAAAATTCACCTTAAAATTTTAAATTCAAATATCAAATAATTTTTATTTTTCGAAACCTCTCAGTAAAAATCCGAAATACATCCTTAATATGGAGGTGAGATGAGAAGAAGATAAAGTATAAAGTGTGCGAACACGATCAAATTTAAACTTGTAAGTTTTGTTTTTCCTATTTCATTAAAAAAAATTTTTTTTTTTTTTACCAATTATACATAAAAATAATAATTGAAAAACACCCCTATCAAACTCACCCTGAAATTCAATATGGTTGGCCTTGACGCAGGAGAAAAATATAATTATATGCGTGAAGATTGACAAAGACTTGGCAAAAGCGATAGATAAATACTCTCTCCGTCTATTCGAATTTAGAGAGTCAAATATATATTTTTAATTACGTTTTTTAAATATTTTAAATTATTAATTATTATATATTTCTTTGTAATTTATTTCAAATTTGTAAAAATAAATTTATTAATATTCATACCTGAATTAATGGTCAAAATAAGAAATAAATTGATATATAGCGAGTATTAATTACTAGGATATATAGTGGTCCTCGATCATCATTAATATTTGATTTGCAATATGATATATATCTTGATCGATCTTGTGTATGTGATCAGCAAGATTTCATCAATTCCCTAATTAGTTACAACATTTTAAAAAGTAAAAATTATTTACATATGATGTTTACATCAAATTAAAGTCAATAGATACATGCATGAAACGTCTTTATATTCTGTATAAAGTAGAATGAATCCTCACTTCATCAAATTCATTACTACTAATTATATTAGTATAAAGTTACATGATTTGATGTAAATACTAATTAATATAATTAGAATATGTCACAATCAGTAGAATAATTGTGATTAATGCAGCCAACTTCATCAAAGTGGGATATGTATGAGCTAGATGTGACAGAAAGGATCAACTAATTATAATAATTAATTAGAAGAATTTTAAAACATAAATGCTAATTAAACTTTAGGTTATAAAAAAGTGTTAAATGTGGCTTGAATAAATAAAAATCAAGTTAATGGAAGTCAATAGAGAACCTTTTTGTCCATCCTTTCTAGAAATCTTGAAAATTTGTGTGTTTTATCATCATTTGAATAGTATCATAACATATCACATTGCTTTTTTAAAAAAATTAAATGAAAAAGGCAAGACAACTAATTTTTATTTGTTACGACATTAATAATTTAGAAGAAATTGATCTAATGTTAAAGTTATCTCCATATGTTTGATAGATTACGAGTTTGAGTCATTAAAATAACAATACTCCTTGAAATGTGATC